AGTAAGAATAAGTTGTTGACGATTATACTGTTCTCGTCTAATGTACTTTATTAATTGATATGTGGGGTTTAGTGTCTCAAAACCACCTTACGATTATATGAGAGACGCTGTAGGGGAGGGCTCCGGAAATTTCGGCCACCTGGCGTTCTTTAACGTGCACCACATTGAAGGTCTTAAGCGATCATATAATGCGCGTTTTCATCGCTCAACTGTCGGGAAATGAAGTAGTTATGCGGGATTTTTTTCTCGCAGACGACGGCAAGGGGACGAAGAAACAGTTATAGTCGTGAAAGACGAGGTTGGGTCAAAGCAACGTTTATCAGAGCGGCCGTGAGTGGCTAACAACGTAAACGATTTTTTTGCGTGAGTGTGTAAGTGCTGACCCCCCCCCCCCCCCCCCCCCCCGAAAAAAAAGTACGTAGAGCGCCGGGCTCACAACCCGCCATCCGCATGACGTCGTACAGGCTTCGCATGACAGCACACTCTTTGTGACAGCAAGGGCAGATCCAGCTCACCAAGGAACCTTGATCAGTGCCGTGAAACCAACATATGCGCACTGAAAAACGGTAAAACACCGGAAAAACGAAAACGGATGTTCGCACTGGAACTACGGTCAATCCTTCACAAATATTATGACGAAATATAAAACCGTATGATTTACAAATCTCCAAAAAATGTTTCAACTCCACTAGTATTTCGTGTTGAAATGCCCCTTCTCCTTGCCACAAATGCCCCATGCCTGCTGACCTGAAGGACAGGGCCCCGCTGCGGTGGTCTACAGTGGCTAAGTTACTGGGCTGCTGATCCGCAGACCTCGGGATCAAATTCCAACGGCGGCGGCCACATTTTTCGAAGCAGGCGGAGATGTTGTAGGCCCGTGTGCTCAGATTTGGGTGCACGTTAAAGAACCCCAAATGGTCGAAATTGCCAGGGCCCTCCACTACGGCGCCTCTCGTCATCGTATAAGGTGTTTTTGGGACGTTGAACTCTACTATCAAATTAAATACTACAGGTCCGTGTACGATGAACGTTGAAAAGGGCATGTATTTCCGGAGCCCTCCACTACGGTGCCTCTCAGAATCGTATGGTTTTGGTAAGCAATACCCTAGTGATTAAAGTTGAAGCCCCGACAATTCTATGGGCATGAATTAAAGGGCCCCTCACCACCTTGCCTTCAAAGACGAGGGAGTGGTTTCCTTCTCTGCTTCGCTGCATCTCATACAGGCGATATTTCCTCCTCACCACGTATTTCTGAAAAAAAAAGCACCTGCATGACGTCAGCACTAAGCGTTGTCTCCCTCGAGGTTTCGCAATTGTCAGCTACGAGTTGTTATCACCGCCTGTGCAGTTGGAAAGACACAAAACTAAGGGAAATCGACGAATGGTGCACGGCAGTCATGCTTGGCATAGAAAATAGAATGGGTGGCTGCATGGCAGAGCAGTACAGGAGTCCATTCACGTATGATATTTTGCGTACATGAACCAATGGAGAGAATGTATATAGGACATTAGAGACGTTACGGAAATCGCTTTTCATGCGTGACGAAGTGCACCAGAAGAGAAACCTCAGGAGAGAATAATGTGGTCATTGCGTTTCTGTTTTTTTTTTTAATTTTCAGAGGCTGGTGGAGGGCCCTCTAATATTTAACTGCACATGTTTCCTGAAATGCGCGTTTTGCCCCGCCGCGGTGGTCTAGTGGCTAAGGTACTCGGCTGCTGACCCGCAGGTCGCGGGTTCGATTCCCGGCTGCGGCGGCTGCATTTCCGATGGAGGCGGAACTGTTGTAGGCCCGTGTAATCAGATTTGGGTGCACGTTAAAGAACCCCAGGTGGTCGAAATTTCCCGAGTCTTCCAATACGGCGTCTCTCATAATCAAATGGTGGTTTTGGGACGTTAAACCCGACAAATCAATCAATCAATCAATCAATGAAATGCGCGTTTGTACACCGCACTACGAACATACATTCCGGCACTCTGAATTCTCTGAACATTGTTATGCTTCGAGGCCACGTGAAAACTACCGTGTTGAGGCATTGTGCTATTGTTTTTCAAAGTCAGTCGATCGGTCGGTCAAGAACTTGATTAAAAGTTCATGAGGAGTTTAAACCACCAAGGTGTCTACGAAGGACATCCTAGCAGAGGTGACGCCTGAGTCGAGGCGGAAACGTGGTGGCGTTCTGGCAGTTCTTGGGCCCTCTGAACTGCCTCTAGTTGATGTTGGAGCTTCGGGCTCCTGAGTGCCTCTTTCCAGTCGTACTCACTGGTGAGAGGTCTCTGAGGTAACGCGACACATTGCCAGAGCATGTGTACAAGTGAACAGTACACTTCTGTGCAGTCTGGGCATTGTTGATTTATGTCCGAGTTGTAACGCCTGAGTCGGCCCTGGGATAGCTATGATCGGTGGTGTTCCAAATACACTAAATAATTTAAAATTTACTCGTGAAAATGTACGCGTACTGTTTAGAATATTTATATTTCATGTATGCTTTGGTAAATGTCCCTATTATTACCTCCTTCTTACACAACTTTGTTTTCGAATGTAGCATGTTGGTTCAAATGTGTACTGGATTGCTTTGCTTGTGCCGTAGTGCTGACACCGTGCATATGCGACGTGGGGCGTTGTCAAGCCGTGCCACGCAGCTTTGTTCCCCTCTCCCTAGCGCTTAGTAAAAAAACAGTATGTGGTAAATAAACTCAGCCCAAAAGAAAAGAACGCGTTATTATCTAGTGTACCGCGCACAGGGATAACGTCAAGCACTATTGCAAATGTAAAAGCGGTGGCTTACTGATATAAGAAAGCCTTGGCGAACACATAAGATAATGGGCTCGCGTGTGGAATGCTCGAGTGCCGGTATAATTCTACAGAGATCCGTGATTGCTACATTCTCATTGCTGAAAATACCCACCATACCGACATCCGATGGTCACCACTGCAGTCTAGTTAACCCGAGCGAGACGCCAGACTCCGGGCAAGAGGTTCTACGTGCGATGTGGCGCCAACTCCATTATTAAGGTAGTTGTGCCCCCTTGTGGGAAATCAAATCGCGGTGCCCCTGGTTTACAACAATGACCGCTACAGAAACAAGGGCCACAAAGACCGGCGACAGTGACATGCGTGATGGGCACCCGCTGCCTCCCATGAGCGAAGCCGGCATACGACCAACCACAGTAACATTGGCTTCTCTAGGTTTATAGCACCTGACATGCATGACATACCTGACATTGAATCATCCGGTTTACTTTATTGAAATTACAAGGGGTCGTGTTGGCGCTGTTGTGAAGTTTGAGGTCGTACATCTGGTGCACGACTGGCAGTGTGGGTCATGGTATCGCACAGCTTTTACCAATTGCCAGTAAGTCCGAGGTCATACCTCCGGTACTGAGAGTACGAGTCGTGGTGTCTTAGCCGCTGTCACCACTAAGGCATTATCACTACTAGCCAGGATGGAGCATGGCAGACAGCCACAACGCTGACAAGCCGACGTAGCCGAGGTGGGACTTCCGCTCAGAGGCTGAGCAATGGCGGCAAGAGTTTAGAAGAAAAATAACAACATTAGAGCAGATAAAGTTTTTGTTGTACAAAGCCTGCCAGCATGACAACGTTGGCTTGGGTGAGAGCCCTGACGAGGGGCCGGCATGACCTTAAATAACGCATACCCTTACAAACATTCTTATTGAAAAAACAAAGAGAAGTTATTGAGCAATTACTAACAGATGGCATTGAAAATACTTGACGGTTCAATTAAAACACCGTTGAGGAAATTGTTCACCAGGATTGAAAATTGGCTCCCGACTTTTAATTGAGAAGCCATGAATGAACTCGATAGAGAAGCAATAAAATTAATGTTTACGAAATACTTCCTCAATGGTATTTCAATGGAAAAGAGTCAATGACATTTTTATTGCAAAGTGCTCAACAGAAATATTGCCGGCAAAATTTTTTTTGAAGCAAGCCAATGAGTTTTGCGGAGCCATTGATGATCAATAGAGTCAATCATTCGATGATAGTCCGACAATGAAAAATCAACAGTCATTTTCATCAGGGATAGCCCATTGCCTCTTGTCTCCTGCACGGCGCCTGGAGCGGGATCCACATCGTCCTCTCAATTTAAGGACGTGCGGCCACGCAGGTGTTGTTGACCGATCTATGAAACAAGTGGCTATTTATTAGTGAAGAGAAAAGAAAAATGCCCTTGTTTCTAGTCTCTCTTATTAGGGACATGGCTAAGCGCCTTGAGGGGAGGGGAATGGGACTTGAAGGGGATAGAGAGAAAAAAGTGAGGAGATAGGGGAGTAGAAGAGGGAGTATTCCGCCCTGGCACTGGCAGAAGGCCGACGCATCCTAATTAAATTATCATGTGGTTTAGCAGGTCCCGCAAATTCCAAGAAAGCCCGTAGGGCTGGCAGTGGTGACCGCGCAGGGAGAAGAATGTTCTCCATAGATGTCGCTAGAAGCCCAACGTGTTTGTAGCGGCTAACCAGTCTGCCGCAGGAGCAGATGATGTTGTTGAGCATTTCGGCATCGCCGCATCCGCTACACGCAGCTTCGTTGGCCGTACCCGATCAGCACGAAGTAGTAGAAGTACTGCCTATGTAGTCTTCCCACCTGACTAGTGGTCAGTTGCGCGAAGTAGCAACGTCGATGTGTTCTTCCGAGGAGTTACGACTCTCCAGTGTCTACGACTACTACGGTGTCTTTAGATCCACACGTGACCACAATAGTGTCATGTCCTGTTCAGCCGTTTTACGGATGTCCCACAGGTGCACTGGAAGAGACACGACTCGCAACGTAAGTATTACGAAGCTAAAAGCCTTCGTATTCCCAAGCCAACTTCACTGCAACAGGGAGTTTCTCGTGTGCCACATATGTCACATAGCAATACCTACGCAAAATCCAAGGGGAATGAAGGGTCAGGATATTGCACCCGTCATCCGTGCATGTCTTGGGCCTGGATCTTACGCATACTTCTTGTTTCTGCACAGTGCAAGACGTCCCGTGCACACATTGAAGAACGTAGCTGTCACATTCGTATCAGCTGGCGCTGTAGTGATTCAACTATCAGAACCGACGGTATAGTTTCGGTGGTCGTAGCCGAACAGCACGAAATCGTAGAAGTACCGCTGGTATAGTCCTTCCACCTGACTCGCCGTCAGTTGGTCGAAGTACCGTCGCCGGCGACGCTCCCGAGGAGTCTCATTGCGATGCTCCAGTGTCGATGACTCTGGCGGGATCTTGAGACCCATGCGTCGCCACAGCAGTGCCATGTCTCGTCCGGCCGTCTCCAGGTGTCCCACAAAGTTGTACCGGAAGAGACACGGCTCACAACGGGAGTAGTACGGCGCCCAGTGGTCGTCCCACTGGGATACAGGCACCCGAAGTAAGTAGTCCACAAACTGGGGAAAAGTGATGGCGTGGGTAGAGTTGGTCGTGGCGTCGTAGTTGCTGCTCCCGTTGTTGCCAGCCAGGATGCGGTCCCAGTAGACTTCGTAGAAGAAGCGTTCCCTGTCCCTGGGTTTTCCGGCCTTGTCCTCGAAGGCCGAGACTAGACGCTCGAAGGGGTGCCGCACGAAAAGAACCTGCGAATCGAAGCGATAGGACGGTTATTGGCTGGCCGTGACTAAAGGGCGTATCGTGAATATCTTCATTTCGGCGGGAGGGTCGTTCCGCACCTTTAATGATCAATTTTCGTGTGCCCGCATTTATGTGTGCGGACCCCCGACATCCCTTCTACGTCAATGCCGTGACTAAATCTGCGTATTTAGGTGGGATCGGGGTTCGCCTCGCGCTCGATATTTATTCTGGACATCGCAGTGATGGGGAATGCGATGATGCGACGATAATAGTAGTGCACGTGCTCACCACAAACGTACAGTGAATAACCAAGCGCTGTGTGGCTGTTACTAACCTATAGCATTACAAATAGTGCAGGCTCACCACCAAGGCGAATCGCTTTTCGGAGCTAGATGCGCCGCTGAATGCTGCAGCAAATATCCCACGCGCCGTGGCGTGATAACCGGACGAAGCTTACAACTTCTAAATTGTACAGGAAAGACTGAACATACTGCGCTAAACGACTGTTTATAGCAAACGGGAACGCATACGACGCTCGGAAGCAGCGATGGCACCGGCGAAGATACAAACCCAGTTTGACGAATTTGGTTCGGTGTGATCGTTTCAAAGGTTGGAAGACATCGACAGCAACTGTAATACAAGGAGAATGCCATAGGCGTCCGCGTCAAGGGCTAACCGCACGAAGGAAGTTTCTGTGATACAACAAGTCACGTAATCCGTTGTAATGTTAGCTTCATAATAACAGTGTGCATCACCATGCACGTTGTGTTATCGCACTATAGAAGAATCTTTTAAAAGAGCATTGCCATGTTTGTCATCTGGCCTTCATTGCCAAGATTATTTGTTCGGCCAATAACTATGGAATCAGTCTGCTAGGGTTGATTGATTGATTGATTGATATGTCGGGTTTAACGTCCCAAAACCACCATATGATTATGAGAGACGCCGTAGTGGAGGGCTCCGGAAATTTCGACCACCTGGGGTTCTTTAACGCGCACCCAAATCTGAGCACACGGGCCTACAACATTTCCGCCTCCATCGGAAGTCTGCTAGGGTTGCTTTTGTGAGCAAGTATGAGTACGGTGTCCGCACCCAGTGTTTTTTATTTTTATTTTAGAGTTGAGCATTCTAAACACCCGATTCATTTCCCATCCATGCATATCACGTGGCTTGACTATGCTCTCAGTAAAGCGCGCAGTACAGGTCGCAAGAAGTCTAGCGATGCTCAAATGATGAAAATTAACCAGCAAAGCCGAAAATATTTTAATTAACCGAAATGACCAAACATTTATCTCGAAATAACTAGAAATTGAACAAAAACGTTTTTGAAATGCTTACGCAGGGGGTGCACGAGAAAGGGTGCAACGCCGCATCTCGCCTCGCCCAGCGAGCTAAAAATTCCCTTAAAAGCCAACTCCTGCGATTTTTTTTTACCATTTCAGGATAATGGTGCTCTTATGTTCCTGAAGCACTCTTGTCACGCGCCCAATAGCTGAAACACTCAACAGATTAGAAAACATTTTTTAATTAGCGAAAAACCGCAACACGAAAACCTCACCAAGTGCGCTTCTACGTGCGACGTAATCCTTCGCCCGAACCATGGCCTCCGAGATGGCAGGCGCGTCGCAGGTTGAGAAACACGCTGCGCGCTCGTCATCTCGGAGGCCATGTCCGAAACCTGCCACGTCGCGCATAACGCCGCCAGATAACATTACCTCTCCACGCCGTCCAAGTTCGTGCCTGAGGCGATCGGCTAACATGCTTACGCTGTTTTGTTGAGTATATGGCTACAATGCTCCAGATAATATGGCGAATCGTGCGCGAACCTCAATGCAGCACCACTTTCCACCTATCGCACGCCCGCCAATACAGTTAATGGAATCGCATGCCCAATCAAGAAGGCGCCCGTAGAGAAACATACATAAAAAGAGCGGACACTCCCGGAGGCCCCTGCGGCCGCACTACTGCGCTACTTTCCACGCCACGACTGGCTGGTGAGACCCGATAATGTCTTCAGCATAAATGAAGTAACAAATTTTTCTTTCGGACGTTGGGATTTGAACCCATGCCCTCATGCTCCGAAAGCGAGTGTAGGCTATTACACACCCATGCTTCCACAAAAGGAATGCCTGTACAGTCATTGCGCACATTTAAACCACATGAATGTGCAGCCTTTGTGCAAAACGAATGCAGGAAGACAACACTTTCTAGGGAGACATTACCGATTTTTGTGGTAGGGCATTAAACGTCTTTAGTGGGCTGCGATGCAGAGCGAATATAAAAAATTGCAGAAATCAATCAGACTTCTTCTTTGCGAAAATTTGATGCCAAACTTGGGCTCTTGTTGTCCTCCTAAGGAGGCTATCAAATGTTTTCACAAAAAAGTAAAATAGAGCATTAGTACGCAATTTAGCAGTTAAACCGAGGCTTGTTTCAGGCTTACGGGACGGCTTTGAGCTCTCCCATAGTAGAGTACCTCATACTCTAAATCGTTAACAACTATTTGTAAACACACTTGTTCGGCCGCGGAAAGGCTCGAGTGGCCAATCTATACGCAGTATATTTCTCTACGAAGCGCCAGCCAAACTCATAGCGGACAAGCAGAGGCTGCGGTCACACATCAGTTTTGTCACTTCCGTTTTGTACAAATCGACGCAACCCACACAATGTTGCCATTATTTCTCGCAAGCGAGGTGAGAGTTTGAAGGCAATATCCACACGAAATATCCACACAAAATCCTACAATATCCTACAATATCCACACGAGAAGAATCCGCCAAGCTCTGAAGCCTGCCAGTTGGCATGAATGGCGCAAACATGTAAACGAACGTACCCAGTGAATTTCATTGACCTTGAAAAATCGCCGGAGTTGGCCACACTGGCACGTTGCATCGTGTCAGAGTGGGAGCTTTTTGACGCGGCGTCGCATTCTCTCCCTATGGAGAGAGACAGCAAGCTGCGTGAAGCTGCGCTCCCTCACCCTTCGAAGAGAGAGGGTGGTGGCGTCGCCGCGTCAAAACGCCACGCGCTGACGCAATGTGACGCGTACGTGTAGTCCGGCCTTTACGCTGTGTCGGAGCTGTGTAGCTACACCCGATGGGAAAACAGCATTACGAAACTCGGCTTGGATGGCGCCTATCTCAACTGCCCTAACAAGCGGGAAGTCGATACTGCGCTCCAAAAATATACTGCGCATGTTGCACACTGAGTTTTCGAACTTCCGTAACAATATTCTACTCTCGCTGGGGAAACGTGTATACCTGCTTACCTCCAACCCTGACGCGAAGGACGATTCGTCAAAGGGAACAGTGAAACCTGTACGAATGAGAACTGTTGGATGCCCGGGATATGTACTTCCTCGGGCTTCACCGTAGCGGAGGAGGAGTACCATTTTTTGTGAGCGGTGCTGTTGTCCGCTACTGCTGTTGTGAAGTGACAACCGCTCCCGATTCACTCCTTGAGAAAGTTAAATTAGCCTCCCTCAACTTTCTTTTTCGTGCACTCGATCATGGCGGAATTCTAATCGAACACCCAATTCTACTTGTCACTTGCCGGGAGTAGGTACGCGCTGGGCTCTCCGTTAGGAGTGGGAGACACTGGTTGGGAGAATGGCAAGGTTTCACCCCCCCCCCCCCCGCCCTGTCATTGAACGAGCACGAAGAAGAAGCAGCCGTGTCCCTTTCGTTCATTTGTGTCTTGTCTCCGTGCGCTGCTTGAGAAATAAACGTGCACCAACTCGTCCAACTTTTAACGTTACGAAGAAGAAGCTTCGCGATGGGTGCCAAAAGCAAAACAAACAGGACTCACTAATGGTGTGCCGTTTACAGCGGCCTACCTTTGACGACCGGCTTCACGGGAGTAAAGAAGGTATGTACTGTCAACTTGGTACAGTAAACACTTCTTGAAGTACATGGGATAAATTCAGTCATAATTGTCGCCAGAAATCTGGTTGGACGTAACCCTACATATTGGATTGTGAGTATGTGTAAAATGGCGAATTTGAAAGGCGCGTACATTGAAAGGCGCCTGGATCAGGACGATTATGACGTGGAGAAAGCAAATGTGAGATCCAGTGCTTTGGCTGACCGTGCTTCAGGGAGACACACAATCGACTGGGGTAATCCAGGTGTTCTAGGTGGCGAAAAAGGTTGTCACACGGATGTATTCACACTGGCGCACATGCTCTGGGAGTGCAAGGCAATGTACACTAACCCCGACACTACTTCGGTCACGTGGGAGGCGGCCCTACGCAGCTCCGTCCTGGCCGACCAACTTGGGTCGTCCAGCAGGCCCGCGGAGTGGCCTGCTTGGCCTAACGGTCCCTACGTGGGAGTCACCCGCTGTGCGCTGACGCCCGCCTTCCAGGACGACAATAAAGTTTCGCAACCAACCCACCAACACGGCGTCCTCATCTTGAGTCGCCCGTGATACAGACCACCCCGCGCACTCTCAGCAGGAACGATGGCAATCTACTGTGTGTGCGCTTCCTGCGTGATACGTTCAAGCGCACAGAAGGTGATCTGCTCGAACACATGTATTTATTTCACTTAACTTGTGAAGAAGGCTCCTCTGTATGAGTTAAAAGGTCGTTTTTAGATGCGATTAGCTTACGGCGGAGTTCAAGACCGGTATGCGGCGTTCCCACTCTCTACGCGCATGCGCAACAGCTGGCCCAAGCACTGCCAGAACGCACTCACGCATACTGGCGCGTCCAGGCCCGTGTAGGGTGCTGCGACACTGAGGCCTCTCCCACTTACACTCTCTCAGCAATCGTGTAAGGGTGTCGGGCAACGAGGTTCTGCACAAGCACCCGCGTGGAATGCTCCAACTAGAGTTCGTGACGAGTAACAGCAACAGAAACTACAGTGAATTCGTGGTGTCCTTCACTTCCAAAGACGCGTTAACACCTGGCAATTCGCACGTGATGAAGGGAGCTTCAAGTCGACCCATGCGTTGCTTCGCAAGCTGCTCACGGTTGAGGTGATGTAATCTTTCTTGCGTGTTTCGAAATTCAGTTTGATCGACGGAGTGCCTACAGCACGGAGGAAGGAAAGGTAAGGAGAGGCCCTGACGTCACTCGTTGTGAAGCCGCGATGAAGCCGGAAGTCGGCCATATTGAGTAGGCAAATTCTCCTCTCTTGTTTACATATGAATGCGAAGCAGAAGGCGCGACTCCCTCTCCGGCTCGGAAAGCACGTGGGCTGCGCAGCGCGTGTGTCGTGACGATCCGAAACTAATGGAGCTGGGCTCATCACTCTGAGCCAGCGGGACACCTTCAGTGAAATCGCTTCGTCCGTGTAATAACAGGGAGTAACAGCTCGCCGACAACGAAGCAACTACGAGAGAACGCGCGCTAGATGCACTGACAACGGCGAGCGCTTTCACGTCGTTAATTCAGCAACTGTACAGACAACACGATCGGTCGTGCGCCTTCTACGGTTGTATTCCGCCACGCGGCCGACGCAGCGTCCGGCCACTGTGTCCGTGTACCGCGTGAAACTCACCGGCGTCAGCATTATGCGACCGTGGTGACTTAGAGCACGGTGTTAGTGACATTTGATCGCGGTTGCTGTTACGTTGAGATTACATGCAGTGCTGGTGGAGAGTGTACCAAGCGGAACAGAAAAGGTGTTTTAATATGCACATGAAAGTTGTTACTGTACATACACAACACGAAACTACGTATGTGCACATGGTCCTCACGGCGTCTTGCTGGGCTCAACAGCGTCGTCCGTTGTCACAAGCAGGAGCACTGCTCAACCGTCACTGACCTGCAAGGCGTTCGTCGTCATTCAGCTTCGTCATGGTGCCCAACGCAATTTCGCTGAACGCTAACTGCTTCATCCGCGTCATCCGCCGCACGACACATGGATAAGCACTTGTTCTACGCACTGTTGAAACCCCGTGACGGACAAAGGGATTTGTAAACGTTGCTAAAAGTTATGTAATAGCCAGGAGAACACTGCGTAACCAATAACGCGGCGCAGAGCACAGATATTGTCCGCCACGGCTCAGCACGAGACCTGGGGAGGCACACATTCCGCCGCCAGCCGCGGCCGCTCACTGCTAGACCAGCTCCACTGCGCAACACGTAACCATAGCAACGCTGCCATTGTGCCTAGTGAATATGGCCGCCATGGTGTCATTTTCGCCACATTTTTTACGCCCTGCGCCGGCTGGGCATGCCCTCTCCTTACCTTTTTCCTTCCTCCGTGGCCTACAGCTTTTTTTTTAACTTCATCAGATAATCGGAGGCCATATCTGACTCAGTAAAGATATGGGATTCACTCAGCCCTCCTACACGAGATGTTCATAGAAAGAGCGCAGCCACCCCCCACCCCCCGCTGCATGCCCCCCGCCCCCCACGGTTCGCCCGCCTATCTTGAAACTCACGCTCACCCTGGTGTACTGGCGCAGCTTGCTGAGAGGCCAGTGCGTGGGGCCAATTCGGAACACCCGCTCGTTGAACGAGGAGTGCAGTGCGTCGTCATCCCGTTTGCCGGGGGTGGCGTTGATCCGCTGCAGGGAGGCGAACAGGGACTTCAGCGATGTCGAAGCTACCTGCGTCACCGTGAAAGGTAATGCGTATGCTGATTAGTGCTATGATGTACTCGTGGGGGGATGAAATAAGTGGTTACAGCAGAAGAGACATCAGGAAAAATCTGTGGCCCGTCGACTAATTCAATATTGTCGTACGGCGAAGTTCCTTGTGCGCGATGACCAAGCACCCTTATCACATGAGAGAGGAGGGGGGGTAGCAAAAAGTCTGCAACATACATTGTTTTACTTTGTCGCACTGGTCTCGGAATGGTTTGACGAATAGGTTTATGATCATGCGGGCTTCTGATGGCAATGGTGGCCGAAGGTTTCTGACGTTGCATTGCAAGAAATGCTTACTTCCTGTTTTTACTATTAGAAAGCCAAGGACCAAATTCAGGGCGGTGTAAAAAGCATGTAATAGCTTCCTTTTCATTTTTAAGTCATTGTAAAACTTGTTTTTTGAACTCGACCAGGGGGAAGGGGAAGGAGGTGCTGCGATAATACTTTGCCTCCCCACCTGAATGGTTTACTTTGTGCATGCCTATGCCTGCCACCGTCTGTCAGCAGCTCCTGTACAAATAGAGTTTCCTAAAATTAACTAGAGGGAACTCTGGCGCTGCGATCGTTCAGCGACCATGAGAATTATTGATGGGTGGTACACAGATTTGCCTAGTCTTCGTACTTGCGGACGGCGGATCGCACTTGTGGCTTCGTTTATTGCTTTGTTTCGGTTTCGTTTCGAAGGAAAGAACGAACCTGTTTGAACTCCGCGACCCAATTGGAAAAGGTAAACCTAAAAAGATAATGCGGTGAAGCCCAACCACTGAACAGTGAAGCCAACCACTGAACATTTGCAGATTTTTAATTCGCGATAAAAAACCTCCAAGCCACACGAAAACACATGGAGCCAGAAGCAGGCTAGAAGTTAGGAGATTAGACAAATCTTTGTACTACCCATCATTCTCATGCTCGCTGAAGCGCCATGCGTTGCAGCTCCCGTAGATACTAGCACTAGAGTTTCCTCTAGTGTATGTAGGAAACTGTACAGCCTTTCCAGTCGGTCGACATCTTTCGAATGCTTTCGCCCAGTACACGCAGCTGTGCTCAAAGATACAAGACTCGCTCGCTGTATTCCGTGCCACCCGGTTGTGCCCTCGCGATCTCCGACGTCAGCGTAGCTCTGACCGACTGGGCTGGCCTTACGTCATCTCCTGACGCCGATCTCCGACGACAACGTAGCTCTGACCTACTGGACTAGCCCTACGCCATCGCCTGACGCCTACAAGAACTCTTGCCAGTCCATGGTGCCCCGTCCTCGGACTCCTGTGACCGTGTTTCCATATTTCCTATCTCTCCTATCCCTCATATGTGGTGGTAGTGGTTAAAAGATGAGAAAATGCACCTAATTTCTGCAACTCGGTCGGGAGCACGGCACAGTGCCTGCGGGGAAGGAAAAAGGGAGAAAAGTGGAAAAAAGAGGAAAAATTAGGTGAGCAGTGGCACGGCCGTAATCAACACGAGCAGCAGTGAAGAAGAATGGCAATTTGGGCTAGTTGGTTTGAATTCATGGTACATGGTTGCTTTCCGTGCCTCGACTTTCGTCTGTTTCTTCTAGCACATTCGTGCTCGCGCTGCAGCCCTTATTACCACGAGCAGCAGTCCAGAAGCAAGGGTAGGGGTGGCAAGGGGCCCGTCCTCAGCGATATGTCCTCGCTCGCTGTCCCAGCGTATCTCTTTCTCTCTCTCTCTATACCTTTAATCCTATCGTTTAATCCCTCCTGACCCCCATTCCTTGTGAGGTATACTGTTGAGGTATCGCACCCTGATGCAGACACTTTTACGGGGCTCACTTCTCTCTTCTTTTCCCTCACTTCTCAAAGATACAAGCTGGGAGCTGCGGCATGATATATGTCACCTTGGGCACGAAGCAGAGGGCCACTTTCCTGAAGTCGTCCACGAAGATTGGGCACAGCCGGGGCGGGCAGTGCGTGGGCTTGCCGCGACGGCGGTTGCTGCGAGTGCCCAGGTAGTGCGGGCCCAGCAGCTCACGGTCCGCTGTGGCACACGCCTCTTCCAGAAGTCGCACACGGCGAGTCTGCTCGGCCCAGAGCTGCGCCTCCTGAAAGAGGGAATGGCGCACTTGTATATACTACGGCATCTGGAAAAAATGTATCACAGGCTTCAGTTAGACGTCGCCTAGACAAACAGTCTGCTTCGTCACAGTTACCAGGTCACGTACTAAGCCATATCGGGAGAAGCGCGACGCCGGGGAGTCTGTCGAGCCCGTCTTTCTCGAGTTTTCAGCATGTCAAGACGAGCGGCAACAATATTGAGGCAACCTCGAAAAACCCGACCAAGGCTCCTTGCTTGAACGCGGATGATGGGCACCTTCATCACCTTGTCCAACACACACACACACACACACACACACACACACACACACACACACACACACACACACACACACACACACACACACACACACACACACACACACACACACACACACACACACACACACACACACACACACACACACACACAAACACACAAACGCACAAACGCACAAACGCACAAACGCACAAACGCACAAACACACAAACGCACAAACGCAAACGCACAAACACACACACGCACAAACGCAAACGCACAAACACACGCACGCACAAACACACGCACGCGCACGCACGCACACGCACGCGCACACACAAGCACGCGCGCACACACGCACACACGCACACACAAAAGAAAGCATTGAAATTAACGTTCGGCCCCGCCGCGGTGGTCTAGTGGCTAAGGTACTCGGCTACTGACCCGCAGGTCGCGGGTTCCGATCCCGGCTGCAGCGGCTGCATTTCCGATGGAGGCGGAAATGTTGCAGACCCGTGTGCTCAGATTTGGGTGCACGTTAAGGAACACCAGGTGGTCGAAATTTCCTGAGCCCTCCACTACGGCGTCTCTCATAATCATATGGTGGTTTTGGGACGTTAAACCCCACATATCAATCATCGAAATTAACGTTCGCACATATCCGATCTATTGGTTGTCTTTGCAAACTTTCGTCCCAAGAAAGTGTGTTGTGATCATAAGTTTTGCTTGATTTTGCGTTTATTTATTTTGGTATTTCACAATAACTGTATGTGCCTTCATTGCTTAGGCAACCTACTGCAGCACTAGCGTTTTTTTGTACCAAATTTTCGCCCCCCCACCCCTTCTGCAGCCGCCTTTTCTCCTCCTTTGTGAGAAATGCCAAACAGGTGAGTGGTGCATTCTAAAATCATATGGTGTAACTAAAATAAACTATACAGAATTAGATAATTTTAGTTTGGATTCGTGGGCGCTGCCTTCTTTGACTGCTGCCTGAAAGATTTTTCATGAACGTGCCTAGTGTTTTCAAGCATACCATAGGCGAAACTGCGCTGTGCAACTCGAACATGCTACATGGGGTAAATTTGTGAGCGATAGCCCCGAAGAGTACACCCCCCCCCCCCCCGCCCTAAAATAATCTGGCTAGACCTTTCACTCAATGTTTTGTAACGGGACGACTTACAGAAGGGTTCGATTAAGTTAGGCGTAGACGTCTAATTTTGCCGTTTGTGCATATTCAGCGTTCTTCTTTAATGGTATACAACACTGTCTCTTCATTGTGGTACATTTCCTGAGTAACATTTCTCGGTCTTTTTAGGAGGTTCTACGTCTGTATGGTTTAAACCATGTTCACTTTATGACGTACTTGGAGCGGACAATCGCCTGTATATTGCCTGTATCCTTTAAAAGCTGTTGTCTCAAACACTCGACCCGAGAGCTGCACGTGACCCGCCTACCTCTCCAGGGCTATTGGACGGCAAATTCACCGTCCAATAGAGTTTTGTCAATTTTGTTACGTCAAACTCTCCACCAAAGGGCATTCTCTCAACTTCTTTACGGGAAGCTCTCCATCCAATAGCATTCGCTCAATTTTGTTACGTCAAACACTTCTCGAATATCTCGATAGTGGACTTTCCCACGCGGACAAAAGTTTGTGTCGCCGGTTTTAGGCGGGAAACTTTAAGTTCGGGTAAACTTTGAAAGGAATTCAAACGTAACGTCTCGCGTAGCAACGACAAATTTTAAACTGCCTAATATGATCATAATTTGCATTAGCTTAGAAAAAAGTACTTACTGTTGGAGTACAAAACAGCTAGCAGGACTGTCTGTCGCACGTGAACGACAGGCGCTCCTTGGTTATTTATTTATTTATTTATTTATTTAAAGATACTGCTGTCTCGATACACGAGACATAGCAGGAGTGGGTACATTAGGAAAAGGAACGAACATACATTGAGCAATACCAAAGAAACATACGGCGGGGCCTACATGGTTTCTTATAGTTTGCAACCGACCGTACTCGTACTATCAGCGACACGCGTAAACAGCGGTGTAGTAGGCGCACTCCAATCATGATCACTGGCGTGCGCAAAAGTCCATTTTGACAGCATTGCGCATACGCGCGCCTTACCACGGTGATGACCGGACGGAGCACACAAGGCCACTGAGAACACCTGCCGCTGCTCGCGCTTCATTGACGCCGATAGTACAAACGAAGCAGACAATACGCACGCCAGTTGTACAGGCGGTCCCGTGAGCCGCCGCGCTTGCGTACCTGATCGTCGATGCTGTTGAGAGCCGCGTCGGGGCGCCCGTTGTTTCGAAGCCAAGCGGCTGCGATCAGTAGGAACGCCACAAGCGATACGCCCAGTGCAGTCGACTTCCTCATGTAACGCCCGACCCGCACTGCATTCGCAGCGGCCACTACGGACGCGTCGCTTTGACCCTTCGTGCGGGACTTCCACGTTGCGTCGTCCCGCAGCTCCTGAACTCGCTACTGGCCTGACCTGTCACGTGACTCCTCCTCTCAGTGAAGGCGGGGAGGGAGGGAAGGTGCGCGCGGGTTTCAAAGTGAACTGTTGCAGGCGTGTGGGCTGACTTGGTAACTGTATACACCAGGGGTCGTAACAGGAAATTATTTTTTTAGAGGGCGTGGGAGGGGGAGCTAGACCCTCTTTACGTACCTTAGTTGGTTCGCCTGCGTGCACGCATACGAAATGCGCATATTTCGCGTAGCTGTAGAAGAAATGCTTTGTGATTCATTCACAGCTTCAATATAGACACAAAAGGAGGGCTTTGTTACTACTTCAAGAATTGCGAATTGTTCGCTGGCTCAATAATAATAATAATAATAATAATAATAATAATAATAATAATAATAATAATAATAATAATAATAATAATAATAATAATAATAATAATAATAATAATAATAATGTTGCAGGTCACTCCAGCTGCCTTTAGCCGGAGTTAAAAATATGCCGACGCACTGTGTCATCACTCCTACATCTGCTTACGTATATCAAGTCACGTTTAAATTTTTTTTCTGCTTGCGCAACCGGCTTACAGTGTTACAAGATTAATAATTGATATTGGCACAATCCTTGAGATCTCAAGTTTTATTATCGCCCCGTTGTACTGCAAGAACTGCCTTGCGCAAAGCGCGCCGAATGACCAAGAATCACCGAGATAATCGTGGAAACTTCTGATGCGATTACGCGTGCAACGAGAACATTTCAGCGTTATCGCTATAGCGTCCACGTAACTACTATATAGAAGAAACAGTAATGTTGGCGATGTGTGCTTAATCGCATCGGAAGGTTGTAGGGTTATCTCGGTGGTTCTTGGCAATTTGGAGCGGCTGGCGCAAGGCAGCACTTGCAGTGCAACGGGGCGAACGTGAGAAAGGAATGCGGTGATGTACTAACTACCCAGTACTAATCGTAACATCGGCTTCTTCGTGGCTGATCGTGGCCAGAGGGTATGAGCCATCGATTATGAACGAGAACAAGTGAAGAAGAAGCCGCAGCATTGTGGTGGCTGTGCGAATTTTCCTCGATCTGTCGAGCTCCTTTCGTTTAGGTAAGTGACTTGTTCCTCAAATTATCGAGCTTACTCTTGAAAAAAAAAAAAAAAACTGATCCTAAATTCGACAAAGCTTGCTGTCACGGATTCGGGTAATTACGGGTGATGTAATCGGACAAAGACTCGGTAGATGACGTAAGACATTTGATAAACAGAGGCACGGCACTCCAGAATATAACCATACACCAAACAAATACCAGTACCTACAAATCCAGAATATAACTGCATACCAAACAAATACCAGTACTTACAAATTCAAACAAAAACAAGCTGGAAACACCTTGCCAACTAAACTGTTCATATAAAAGTCAAGCACCTATAGCCTTAGTGCAATAGTCAGGGCCGACCTTATACTTGTCGGCGCTGAGTGGTTTCTCGTCAAAGTCATTCGTTGGCCTCAATGAGCCTTTTTCGGGGTACTTGACTCTCTCGACGAACGTCGCCTATTCTGCCGCTGCCGATCTGGTCGCCCGTCATCGTCGTCGTCACCTGATGTCATCGGTGACGTGGCCGTGGCCTCAGCCGTTAAGCTTAGCGGTGTTCGGTTGTGCCCGCTGCTAAGAGCTGACGTGGCCCAATGCGGAGATGGTCTTCACCGACTTACTTCGAAGGGGCCTTGCACCAGAACTGTAGACGGTTGCTGTGCGCAGTTGATGCATCCTGAGGCCACCCTGGATCCGGGTCGTTGTCTCCGGCCACCTAACGGGACGACCGTGTCACAGGCTCCCGAGTTGAACTCCTGCCGCCCTCATCGCCAGTGCTCTTACTGTCGATACTTTTTTTAGTCTTTATAGGGTACCAACCATAGAGGAGCGTTTCGCTTTGAAAGTGACCAATACATAACATTAGATCGACTGGAAGCCGAGTTTTCTGGCATAATTTCGTATTTGAAAAAAAAAAGTTATTCATTCAGGTACAGATGCAAAGGAAGCGAGCAAAATGATTGAGGTGTTGAAGGGAGCTATGTTCCCAAACTGTTTATCATAATCTGTGTTATGGGAGTTCATTCTTGTGCATTCGCAATCAGACTGGTGAAATTTCGGCGCATTGTGTCGAACACTTGAATTGTCTTTAAATATTTTTGTAAACAAACGAGTGATGTGTGTGTCGGGTAACACTGGTGCACTCCGAAGCCACAAAACGACACTGCTTCGGTCTCAACTGCGCGTGAAATTGAGCTAGTCAAGCTTCCTTCAGTTTCAGTGAACTTGAACGATATTGAACTTCGACAGGAGACGATGGCACAACTTCATGCAGCAGATGGCGTTACACACGCCTTGGCAAAATGGCGGTTGCTGGCGGTTGGGGGCAGAGGGTTATGCCCCGTCGCGGTGGTCTAGTGGCTAAGGTACTCGGCTGCTGACCCGCAGGTCGCGGGCTCGAATCCCGGCTGTGGCGGCTGCATTTCCGATGGAGGCGGAAATGTTGTAGGCTCGTGTGCTCAGATTTGGGTGCACGTTAAAGAACCTCAGGTGGTCGAAATTTCCGGAGCCCTCCTCTACGGCGTCTCTCATAATCATATGGTGGTTTTGGGACGTTAAACCCCACATAGTGGAGTGAGTAGTAGAAGGGGCAGAGGGTTATAGCCAGCGACTTGGGGTTTTCTCTGCACTGAAATGTTTTTTAGAGTAAAAGCAGGGTAAACTAGACATCACTGCTAAATGCGTTCTGGTCCAAATAAGAATATGCTAAGAATCTCCGTGATGACTGACGTCTCTGGGCCTACACAACTTGACTTTTCAAGTGAAGCTTCCTGGGAAGATCGGTGACAGTGGCCGTTGAGTAGTAAGTTTAAAAATTGGCGCCGTCGAGAGTAAAGCAATTTGACCCTCTAAGGTGCACTGGCCACATACATATAGAATGCATCGCTCCGTTGCAATATATATATATATATATATATATATATATATATATATATATATATATATATATATATATATATATATATATATATATATATATATATATATATATATATAGTCCAGTAGATCCTCCGTGAGCGGTCACAACGTGGTTCATTTCGACGTTTCGGCCTAGAGTCTGGCCTTCATCAGGATTAAAGATACAGTTTGTTGGTACTCCAACAAACTAACTGTATCTTTAATCTTGATGAAGGCCAGATTCTAGGCCGAAACGTCGAAATGAACCACGTTGTGACCGCTCACGGAGGATCTACTGGACTATATGCATATATATATATATATATATATATATATATATATATATATATATATATATATATATATATATATATATATATATATATATATATATATATATATATATATACGTGACGCTACACAGGCTAATAAAGATCGTGCCACACTCGCCGCCATGGCTACAGATGTCGTTGACTGACACTCCCACGTTTAAATTCCCACATATACCCAATAAAAGTGACTGGGAGAATAGCCGCCATGGTTGCTCAATGGTAGAGCATCGAACACGTTATTCGAAGGTTCGCAGGTTCAGTTCCTGCCCATGGCAAGTTATCTTTTCAGCCACTTTTCTTTCTTCACATTTACCTCTTACAATTCGGTCTAATAACGTCCCCTATACTTTCCTTCGCATTATTGTCTGTTAGATTTCGTTATTATTGTGTCAAAACACAGAAAAAAGAGCTCTTAAGTATGGAGTTCTTTACCCTATACATATGAGCCAAATACAGAACCTTTTGGCGTAGGCGACGCCGTTGCTGTCATGTTCCCTATAAACTTTAAATGGATAAGATTCCTTCGCGTATCGTATGTGCTGCCCACGAATAAAAGCACGCGAGTGGGGGCGACAAACTTGACTGAATCAGAGATCAAACGAGCCGGCAAATTTAAGTCGCTCGGAGGGAGCATGCGATACATTGAGGCTCATGCAGAGAAGAAACGACCCCGCCGTCTTGAACGAGCACGAAAAGAGGCGGAAAGAGGGGCAAGGTGGTTCGAGCAGCAACTGTGAACTTAGATTCTAAGTGGACGGTCGCGACCGCCTGCGTTCGCGCTACCTCGGTAAGCGTCAACGGACGACTCGTACGTATACATATAACTTTCTACGTGCGGCGCTCTCAACGCGAAGAGATTGTGCGAAAAGAGCGTCGCTGCCTGGAGCGACCGTATTCTCTTAAGAGCTTTGTAGCGTCACTTGGAAATCGGATGCAAGGGGGTTGCCTACCAGTCTTACTTCGTATAAAATTACAATTAGTTGGTATCGCACTCATGGCAGTGACCTTGCGGTCAAACTATGATTTTTTTCCCCCAAGAACCGGTGCTTTTTCGATCGCGCTTGTTGGTGATCAGCTGCTTCTAAAACGGGTATCTGGCCGTTTGTTGAATGCGCTTGTCTTTTCCGTTGCCACGTTTCATTTTTGCCCATATATGAACGCATGGCCGTTGGCGTTCCATGTAGCAACTGGCGTGTTGCGCTGCCAGGCACGCGAAATGAACGTCCAATAGGAGACAAGGAGAGATGGAGTCAGGAGAGAAGATTGCGCAATGCAATAGAGAGAAAGAATGAAAGAAAGAAAAGAAGAAATACAGAAACTCAGTACGTGAGCTATACGCACACGCCAGTTATCGTTTGTCCCCCGATTCGCATTAGCGTAAGGGCTCCTTAGGCCCGCACCACGCCGTCACCGTCGTATGGTCGCCGTCGCAACCCACCGTGTCACCGCTCCTCAACCTACCGCCTTCATTAAAGTCAGCAGTGGGATATCTAACATCGGTTGTGTTCGTACACGGAACAAGTGCTAGTTTTTGAAATAACATTGGTTCTTTTTTGGCTCGCTCCTAACGTTGTACTTCGGATGCAATGCAGGGCGTGCTTTACCACCCGGGTATCGTTTCAGGTCTCCCGCTCCAGCATGAGGCTAGTTCG